AGCTTTGAGGAATAGAATCAGGTGCTATGAGCAAATAGTAATTTATGCCACTACTTCTGTAAATTGCTGTAAAAACTCCTCATAAAATAATGGAGTGGATGGACATGCCACAGTGGAATGTTTGAGAGATTTGGGAATAAAATTGGACACTAAGGGTCCCTTTCCTCAATCATTCATATAAAAGACATATTTACACCCAGAAGTTATAGCTTAACACTTTATAATAAGGATTTTAATGAAGTTTGTACCACACACGGAATGGGAATTCATATGTTATTTTGGTTAACAACTGTTACTAGCTGATAAATTTAAATTACAATTTGCTAGTGTTCAAAGAAATTTTTTGCAAAGGTGGTTTAAAATCACATCTCTTCTTAATTTAGTTCATTGTAAAAAATCTACTCAAAGCTCTGTGCTCATTTTTACAGTGAATCTCACAGAAAGGAGTTCTCTTTTACCACGAGTATCTTGCTAAATATACATTATTTATTCATTATTTCAGTTGGAGTTCAAAATTTTGTACAGCTTTGCAAGCGGGTAGATTCATGAAAATTTATGAACTACATTTTTGGGAATAATTTTTTATCATTATAGTGACAATCAAGAAACTGTTAGTGTCTTAGAAGGTGTAAGAGAGAACAGTCCATAAGAACAGTTAGAGATGAGTAAAATCCATTTTTAGGGCTTATGTAGCTCAAAACTATCAGTCTTAACACTTCAATGCACTACACAAATATTGCTTCATTTACAAAGCAGGTATTTATGTCTTCAAGTGTTCCACATGAAGTGGAGTAAAGTTATTAAATGCTTTTATCTTTTGGTATAGATGTTAATTTCTGGAATTCTAAAATGTTTACATAATCTAAGAAAAGGCAACACAAAAGCCAAGCAAGCTTATTAGAAAATAATTGAAGTAATAATAAGTAGAATTGTCAAGTATGGAAATGAGACAAAGCTTAGAAAGATTGAATGATGAATGGGCATCTCTAGCAGAAATCAGTTTCTCCAAGTTTCTCTTTAATTGCACGTTGTACAAATATATTCTTACTGGACAAGAGGATGTAATCCAGTTGTGGGGTAAGTAAGAATAGAGGAAATTTCTGCATGTCTCTGAATGCAAAGATGGAACAGGGGTAGTACTAAATTAAGTTTGATTAGCAGTTTAAAAGAAAAGATGTGGCAAAAGTTTTGGGCTATACCCTTTTTTCCTCAAAAAAGAGAAGAATTATACATGAACAAAGGCTTCCTTAGTTTTGCTAGGGAGCTGGCATACACTGGAAAATAGAATTGCTGCAAACTACAAAAACAACAAAACAGAAAAGAGTGAAAAATCAGTTGGCTGTGATTTTTTTACAGAGGAAGTGCATGCTAGGATCTTCTGAAATTTCACTATTTGGGTATGCAAAAACTGTTCCAGCTGCCAGTGAGAACTGGTGATAAATTCTTGCCAGCAAATATAAGAGGAAGGAAAGGACCAACTGAAAGAACTTTTACACTGCTATTGTGAAGCCACTATCTTCACTTTTCACATTCCTGCCTATTCAGACATTTGCTGCATACAAGATAGGAACTCTCGAGCACCAGATGAGAAAGGATTCTATTTATACTCAAATGTGCTCATCAAATTCCTGCAATATACGTTTTCTTTTTAATCTATTATTATCATCATCTGCCAAGCCCAGTGCTGAATCAGAACCTAACTGTGTTAGCCATCATCCTGGCACATAACAAAAGACAGGTTCCTTGTACTAGAGAGCTCACAAACACTGTTGGAAATATCCGTCAGTATTCAGCTGATAAATTTTTAAATTTTTGCCTATCCAGAGCTAAATGCTGTCATTGAACTAAACCTAAAAAATGCTACTTGTCTTCCACAGGTCTTAATTTTTTCAGAGGGTTCTCAGACCTTTAACAGATTAAAATCCCTCTTTCCTTCACAGCATGAAATGCTTTCTTATTACATTGCATTAGATTTTACAGAATCACAGAATGTTCTGAAATGGAAGTATCACTCTTAAGTGAATGACCCATACAGGGATCAACAACCATCCACAACCTCAATGTTATTAGCACTCTGCTGCAATCAACCGAGCTCACCTCAGTGGCAATTTCTGTCATGAGGAACTCTATGGTAAGTGGTAGTGTTCAAAACTGTTGGCTGCAGCTTGTAGAATAGATGCTTTTAGAAAAAAGGAAAGGCTTTTCAAAGTTACACTTGATAAATTTGATCAACTCTTGATAAATCCATTAGAAGAAGGATGAGAATATGAAAAGTTATCTTATTTTCTAGGGACTGGAAAATAGCTGCAATCTATTTGCTTCCTAATAACTTTTACTTCTCTCCTGCAACCTGACTCAGTCTTTTCTTTTTTCTTTTTTTTTTTTCCCCATCTCTTGTTGAAAAGGCATTCTAATTTGAGAAATCTCAATCTAAGGAGCTCTGGAAAGAAATCTCATGATATGTGTGCTTCTGGGTAGTAGATGTTAATGTAATCTGAAATCTTTTGTCTTTTGTCATTAGCTGTTGCTTTTCCTGGTTGTCAGAGATGCATTGCACTTGTTATGTGTCTGGTTCCCTCTCTATTTTTATTCTCTAAATTGGTTGCTGCATTCAAAGGGATTTTGTTGCTTTTCCCCCCCACCCCGAAGCAGTACCTATTACTGTCCATTTTGTGTGTGATCCAGTGAAAAGAGATCATCTGGTTTACCTGTTCTAAATAGAGTATGATGATGAAAAACTATCTCCTGGAGAATCTGCTGTGTACCTTTCTTATGCTGGGAACATGACTTTAAAAATATGTTTTCACTGGTAAACAATCCACCTTTTTTGACTTTTTTTTCTGGCTTATTGGTCTCTCTCTGCCTTTTCTGTATTTCAAGACTTTTTTCTGTTTTAGTTTAAAACCGCTATTGAACTGTACACAATATCTTGCAGTTATTTCTGGATGTTTTGCATAGCTTGGCCTCTTTCTTGCCAAGAGGAATTTTTGGCTATGTAGCATATTTTGTATCCCCATCCATCCCATCCGGCCCACATAACAGTCTGCTCTGAAACCATAAGCAACTCGGGAGAAGACGAAGCAGCCATGTGCCTGCTCTAGTTTCTGCCAGTTTCTGGCATCTGGCTGTACCCACTAGCAGTAAAATGGTTCAAGCCACCTTTCCTTGCCTCCTTCTGCCCCTTGATCTCTCTCTGAGAGAGATCAGTTATGTACTGAGCTTGGAGGTCCGCTTATTCATTTTTCAAGAACTCTCAGCAAGGAAATCCCCTGTGTACATCAGGTGTAAATACCACAAAACAAGAGAAGGATGTTTTGACGAAGTGAGGGTATTTTTTGCAGATTTCCTCTTTAGTGGCTTTTCACATTAAAATGCGTCAAGTGATAACACTTGAAAGGGTACAGTGATGTGTCACAGATATGAGAACAAAATGTTCTTTTTCAAGACATGAAGCTCTGTTTTTTCTACCCAATTGGTATTTTACCTTCTATTTTGTCCATAAAACCACAGTAAGCATGGCCAAGCCGAACAATTTTATCTATGTTATAAAATTGCCTTTTAAATGAAGGAAGGAAGATGTTTCAATCTCAAAAAACCATGGTATACTAAAACAAAACCAGAATATGGGTAGGGTTTACCTGATGTACTTATAATAATTTTTTTCTGATGTAATTTTTAAATTTTTCCGATACTCCTAATAGGATTTTAACAGTATCATTTGCAGAAAAAAAGTGTTATTTTGGTATCCCAAAAAAATCCCAACAAAAGATGCTCTATTGGTTATTAAAAACCCTCCACCCAATGCAAAACAGAATAAACAAAGGAAGCATAAAAGCACAAGGTTTTAAATATGTACTGTAAAGACTATTTACAAGGACTTTTTAAAAAATGTAATATTTGGGGAACAGTAATTATTTGTAGACTGCAAGGTTCCAGTAATGGAAATTTCCTTTGCTACATTCTTATGTACCCTGTCATTGTAGGTTTCTATGGATGCTTCAGACACTGTGTAGTGTTTGCATCAAGAAAGTTCTCTCCTTGCTTCTCACAGTGAGAATTGTACCAGTCTTTATTTCTTAAATAGAGAATTCTGAAGTGTTGATTTAACAATAAGAATACTTATGTTCCTTTATTGTACTAATGTTAAAGATTATCTCACTGTGAAAAGGTATTTTCCAAGTGTTAATGCTCACTGTTAGAGCATGCTGTGCTTGACTAAGAGCTTGTACATGCTCTGTGTACAGATGTGTTCTCAGAACTCTTGTAGTAAGAGTAGATTACGTGAGTGGCGATGCAAAGCAGAAGGATTGTGTGCTGTTGCTGAACACAGTGAAGGTCAGCAAAAGAGCACATGTTCTGCAGATAGTGGGACAGAAAGATACGCAGTGCACTTGTATAAGAAGTGGACATTTGTGTTGAGTTGTCTGATTTTGACAATACTTATACTCCAGAGTGGAATGAAAGCAAAAGCATTTCCTGTGCATCCACCCATCTACCCTCCATCTTCCAAGTCAATCTAAATACTTCAATTTGATAAAATCAGGATCTTTAATTATGTTTTAACTGATTGTTATTTTTTCTAGTCTAATTTAAACACATTTCACCAACTATTAATCAAATGACGCCATTTTTTTAGAATAAAATATAATTATCCAATTTCAAATAAACTAAAATGAAATATCTGGGTTATATCACAACGCTTTTTTAAGGTTTCCATTTGTAATTGATTTTTGTCAAGGGTAATGCATTTATGTGAAAGATTCTAGTTTTTATGAAGTTATACGTCCTGGTACTATTCACAAGATCTAGGCTGTTCGTACTACCAAAGGTCTGATAGATTATTTTACTATTATCTTGCAGTAGGTTTCCTACATTTAGCTTTTTATGATTTCAGATTATTGAGTCAGTCAGTGGGATTGCATCCTTTGCTAACCTATTGCCCATGTTGATTATTTTGCCAGATAAAAGTAGAGGTAAGCAAAAAAATTTCATTGTGTAACTTACGATTTACAAGTTTAGATGGTAATATTGGCTTGGACTTCTCAGGAGATGTCACATTCTCTTCATCTGTTACATACTCAAAATTAATAATAAACATCATTGCTACTCCCTCTTGATTTTTCACTGGAATTATGTGGGTGTTGCAAATGAAGGTAGATCCTGCAGATGGATTAAAAAAAAAGAAAGAAATATATAAATGGAAGGAAACATAATTTTTTTCACTTCAGTAAGTCTAGTTACACCAACAGACAGTGAAGAGTATTTATTTGAATTCAATAAATGAGCATCAAACATATTATTCTTTGATTTAAACAGTAATGTTTTCATAGAAAAAAATGCCACTGTTCATAATTTCTTGGAGCCTTACCTTTACCAAAAAGCGTCTCCTTTGAAATGCCAATTTTACTTTTTGGTTTCTTTTGTTCACTGGAAGTGCCTATATAGATGGACTTGTAATATGGAGATATTTAACACCAAAAGTAGAAAACTGAACACTGTTCCAACCACAGTCCTTGAGAAGAAAGCAGATCCTGATTCTTCTAAATGTTGAACATTCTTCAAGCATTTGGTTCTATTACACAGGATGAGTCATGCATTAAGTATTTATGGATGTAAATATACCAGTATTCTTATTTTAGCTCTCAGTCTTTTGGGGACGTTGGGGAAATGTTTAGATTTGTGTTAAAATTTTTATTTGTTAGTTGTTTTATACTTCATCACAAAAATCTTCTAAACTGTGCTAATAATTTTCAATAATTTTCAGAAGGGTTTGAATTAAGTGTTATATACAATTTGAAGTAGGAATTCAAAAATACCTTAGCTTTCACATGTGTGAAGCATACTCTGCCTATACTAAAAGTAATAGAGAGTGTAAACTTTCAATACCTCTGGTGCCCAGAATGTTCTTGTTTAAAAACCTAATTACAGATTTAAGGAGTTCTTTGTGTTAATTCTTCCACTATGGCTTTAGAAGTTTCAGTTGACAAGGTCATTAGTTTTGATTTAATTCTTTCTCTTAATGTTACAGAACATAGTGGTTCCAAAAATAATGTGATTGCTGTAAGCAATACAATAATGTGCTAAAAATTCCATGCAGACACAACTGTGAGACGGGGTCTTTCTATGATAACTAGGGACTGGTTTAATGTACATCATCTGCAATTTAGGCACTCAAATGTAGTAATCACTGAAACTTGACAGCCTGTGCAGTTTGACAAAAACAGATCTTGATCTAGATTGTACACAAGTATTTTTTTTTTGTTTGTTTCCATTGAGGAGAGAGATAGTACAATTTGTATCATTACAACCAAGACCAGATTCTGGCCTCTAATATTTAATGCAGTACTTGCTATAATGTGGCATATATGGCAATTCGAGTTATGTATAAAATTGACATGCTGGCCTTTCAAGTTTTGCAGCTGTAACTTCCATCCATTTAATAAAACAGTTAAGCTGTGGCACTTGCCACAGTTTCCATGGTTACAAGCTCAATGTCTTTAGTAAACAGAAAATAAGCAATTTAAGACTGTTCCATTAGAGCTAAAAATAGAAATGCTGCAGGCCAACCATTGCAACATAGACTGGTTAAACAGAGGGGCTAGAGAGAATTCAGAATAATCTTTGTGGTTTTAGCTAACAAATAAAATACATACTGAGTTCAAAAAGTCAAAATTATATTTATTGATTTGCTTGGAAGGAAATGATATGTATGAAAATTTATAGGCTGAGCAGGTATCCCCCAATATCTGGAGGTGGGGCTTGGCTGAGGCATGTATGGCTTTGAATAACACTGCAGTGGATCAAAGGTTTGTCAGTATTTGCAAAGGATGATGATGAGGACACTTTAAAAACTTTTCTGCTTTTGAAGGCAAGGGTGTTTCAGCTTTTGAAATGCTTCCCACAGTGCTAACTAATGACACTATTTCCCATTTGTGTAGAACATTCCTCCCTAAAGAATTTACAAACCTCATTTGTACTGTATCTAGGGATTTGCATCTCTGGGGAGATGCAGGAGTTGTTTAACAGTCCACAGCTTAAGAACATGGCAAAAAGAGCAGATGATTGAAAGTTTAAGCTGTATGTAGATATATTTCAGGAACAAAATATAGGAAAGTTTCATGTGTGGTTTTAATTAAGCATGGTTCCTTTGAAGACCAAATACACCAGACTAGTCAAGTCCACTGTAGTTCATTAGTCTAAATTTTTCCAAGAAACCCAGGCTATTTAAGAGGAAAGGAACATTTACGTTTTTTGTAATACTGAAAGTGGAATGTGGAAGTTAACCAAAATATAATGACAGTCGCAGTCACTGTTCCTGACATTGCTAGTGTTTTTCTTTAGTACAGACACTGCTATCTGCTATACACTTCTCAGTATCTAATTCTATTGAAGGGACAATAAGGAAATACAAAATTCAAAATAGCAAGGAATATTCTAATATGATTTAAAAAGAAGAGATGGGTACAAAGAAATAACATTGACAAACTCAAAAGATAAGCTTTGAGTTGTTAGAGTTGATAGCAATAAAGAAATAATAAGAAGAAGCTTGTTTACAAACAATCTTATTCAGTATTTGCACTCTGGCATCCCACTGCTCTTCATTGCACTCAGCATGTTTTTCCTGTTTGGTCTCTATGCTGAATATTTCAAAAGTAAGACATGCTTCCACTGAGCAATAAAAATGGTAATGTAGTTTTTGGAATTTGCATTTCTTATCTAACAGCACCGGGCAAGTGGATGATTTAATGAGAACAACTAGGAAAATAATACCTTCATAATTAATAAATTCAATAGCCAGCAATACATCTGAATTTTCTCATGATTACTCCTGAGGAGTAATCATGAAATATACCTGTTTTGCACTCTTGTTATCATCATTGGAGATGATAGAGGACAAGTTAGACATTTTCTTATCAGCTTGAATTCCATGGTTATAGGGACTTGTTTACTTTTATTTAAGACATTGTAAAGCCCACTGTTTCACCTAGTTAAATTAGTGGAAAAATAATCATATGGGAAGAACAGATTTCACTCCCCTATTTGCTGGGTGGATATGATTCCATTGTTATGTATTCAATAGTATGATTTCACAAGACCACACAGCCTTGTGTGAAACAAGTAACTGCTAAAATACATACACAAGTGACAATAAATATTTCAGAAATAACGATATAGGGTATAGTAGGGTTATACAAGGATCTATTTCACCATTTGAGCAATTCTGATGAAAGAAAACCTATATATCTATCTGTCTGCATAGTGTTTAAAGATGACTTGCTTCAAAAGATCAGTACAAGGCAGGTACATCAAGTAAATTAATCTGGTTCATAAATGTTTTTTACATTTTCAGTGATCATGTATGAAAGAATTTTGGGCAGATTTTTATCAGACTGCATCTTCTAGATATAACTGCATTCATTTATTAGAACTGTGGTAGTTCCACTTACGAACAATTTGGAGAAGACAATGCAGCTAATACAACAGTGAAGACACTCCAAATTCTCATATGAAAAGCTCTGACAAGTAAACTTTGAAAAATGACAAACCCAAACAACTAATTTGATTCAGCCTTCCTGGGAACAAAATCTTCACAGGCCATTTTATATGCCAAGCTCAAAGGATCTCTGAAAAATGAGGCATTTAGGTAATTGTCCTAATTCTGCAGAATTGCCATGGTTCACACAACAAGAACCTTTCAAAATTCATCACGGTTCTACAGGATGGTTCTGGAATCCTCTTGCCCTGAATGGGTTTTACAGGTGCTATCTGCGTTTCACCATATAAAAATTTAGACTCCTGCACTCAGTACAAATTTGAGGACAGCCTCCAGAAGGCGGAGACTGGTTTCAATATATTTTGGAACCAATCTTGGCTCCGTGTGCCAAAGAATTTATGACTTCTCAGATATTTTTTGTTACTAGAACTGCTGTAGACAACTGACTAGGGCTATAGAAAGAAAAATATTGAACATGTCCTCTGAATGCATGTAGAAATTTCTGGGCAGAGGGATCTCATACCCAAGTTTCCTGCGATTGTGATAATTTTTTACTTCTACAACCTACAGGTGTAGTAGTGTAGGTATCTCTACAATCCATAGCCACTTCTGCTCATTTAAAACTGAAGATAACAAAGAATAAATCAAAACATAACAAAGAAAGAGCCAACAGCAGCCTGCCTACTAGAACGAGACCAAACACAGTCAAAAAATAGAGGCAGAGATACTCTGCATTTCCAGATCTCAACCGTCCTGTTTGCTGTTTGCCAGAGAGCTCTGAATGAAACATGTCTGCAGACCACAATTTTATGGTAATACAGGGACAAGAGAAAGATACTGGATATTCTTTGCACTTTTATAAAATAATCACTATTTTTATTTTGGAAATAAATACCCTCCAGTTCCCTCAATAGGATTCTCACTTTGTCATCAAAAGAAATGTTCAAAATGCCTTCTCTCAGAGGCATAAACTTAAAACTACCAATTATGGTAGAAAGGCAATTAAATATATTTCATATTCGATTGTGTACTCGGCTTTGTCTTAATTCTATCACCATTTTACTGAAATGGGGCACAGGTTTTTTTTTTTTTTTTTTTAGTAACAGGAACTAAAACAAAATAGTTCCTGTTTTGTTAGTAATGCAGAGAAATGTTGCTTTCATAGATTCTTTTTTGACTAGTTACTGTGAAATTATTAGAGTGTGATAGCTATTATAATACATAAAAACTTAATATTACTCTGTTAAGTAATAGTTGACTTCTGTAAATGCAAAGAATGCTATGCATTCCAAACCATAACCAATCTTATTTTGCTATTCTATGTCCATGTTAGGACATGGAATAGCCTTCTTTGACCTTTCATCATAGCATGGCTTTTGGGTTTTGCCCAATATTAATAAGAACTACGCTGGGGAAAGAAAAGAGAGATAATCTGAGGGTGAATTAATGTGGAAGATCAGAAAACCTTCTCTATCTCTACCTGTTCATAATGTAATCTTCATCTTTGGGATGAGGAGCCAAAGCATGGCTTTCTACTGACACCTAAACTTCACAAATTCAGTATCCTTTTCCTTCCTAATGGCCAAAACCCCCCATCACTTTCTACTTCTTTCAGCATGGGAATGGTCTTGGAAAGGTGTAATACTTTTCTAGGCAGGACATAAAG